CTTCCGGCAATGTCGCTGGAGCTGAACTCTTGCCGCCTGTCACATCTTGTGTCGGGTTAACAATGATTCCTCCCCTTATCTGGGCGTGCATTGCCGCCTTCGCTCGGACAGCCCGCGGAGATTATGTATCCACCAACTACCAGGAGTACAATGACGGAGCGCTAGGACACCGTCCTCACTTGGAATTTCACTCCAGCTCCGAATATGCACCCCTTCTACAGGTCAACATATGGGACCAGAGTGCCATCTCTGAGAAAGGGTCCCATATATTCATCAAACATGATGGTAACGACTCCTCGCCACTCTCGTCGCCGCTCATTTTGGATGCCAACGACTTGAGTGCCGTCTACATGAACCGGACCTTCAAGAATGTGTTCGGTACCCGTGTGCAAGAGAATTTCGGCAAGAAGTACTTGACTTTTTGGGAAGGTGAGAAAGGCGATGGTATAGGTGACGGCTATGGGCTCGCCTACGACGACACCTACCGCTTGGTCTATAAAATATGGGCACGAAACATCAAAGTTCACAGCGACCTCCACGAATTTGCATTTACCGGGAACGGAACAGCTTTGGTCACAGGCGTCAACGCCATCAACGCCCACTCATCAGACTTCTTAGACAAAGGCTGGATAACGCCCCCCAGATTCGAGGTCCTGGACTCCATTTTCCAAGAGATCGACCTTGAGACTAATGAGGTGCTCTTCGACTGGCGGGCTCTTGACCACATTAACCCCATGGACTCCTACGAGCCTATGGGCAGAGGTTGGGATGCGTATCACATGAACAGCATTCAGAAGGTAAGAGCAGGACATGTCTCCCGACGACCTGTAAACACCTCTGACTTTCCATGATTTAGACCAAAGCAGGTAACTATCTTATCTCAATCCGCCACCTGCACGCCGTCTACCTCATCGACGGAAAAACGGGCGACATCATATGGACCATGGGCGGCAAACGCAACGATTTCAAAGAGCTGCCCCGCGCCAAAGAAGCCGAGTCAGCCGCACCCCTGCTGTCGATGCAGTGGCAGCACCATGCTCGCTTTGTTGAGGGGACCGACGAGACCCAAATGACCTTATTTGACAACCATGTCAAGATCACCAGTCACGGCGTCTGCGACACCGATTGCTCGCGCGGCTTGCACATCGCTATCAACGATACTGCTTCACCCCCGACCGTCCAACTCCTACGCGAATTCCATCACCCATCCCACCTTCAAGCTCAGAGCCAAGGCAGCATGCAGCCCCTTTCGCCCTCTGCTGATGATCTGGGCAACGTATTCATTGGCTGGGGCCGGTGTCCCACGTTTACAGAGCACAATTCATCGGGTGAGACAGTCATGGACGTGCAGTTTTCGCCGTGGCACAGTGACAATATCCCCGATGCGCTAGACAACTACCGCGCCTATAAGATGGACTGGTCAGCTACACCCTGGTGGGACCCTGCTATCGCACCACGAAAGAATGAGGACGGCGAGTTGGTCATGTACGTTAGCTGGAACGGAGCGACCGAAGTGGCAAACTGGGTTATCCGGGGAGCAGCCAGCGACGATCTCGACGAAGAGGGCGAAATTATAGCTGCATCACGCCGGACCGGCTTCGAAACCAAGCTGACAGTTGGCGAGACCGATTGGCGGTACATCTGGGCTGAAGCCTTGGACAATCAGGGAAATGTCCTTCGATCGACCGAAGTCGTGGACCTGGATACAGCGGAACTATCAGTTGCTCATGACGCCTACGATGAGCCCGATTCTACCTTCATCCCCTCGGAGGAGACGCACTCTGGATTGTCGATAAATACAGTGATATTCTTGGCGAGCGGGCTGACCGTTGTTGTGTTGGTGACGATTGGGGCGGGAGTTATGTGGTGGCGCAGGCGCAAGGTGTATAATAGCCTGGAAGCAGAGGACTTTGATCTTGCTTCAGATGATGGCTTTCATGAGCATGATGACTATGACGAGGAGGCTGGTGATGAGGATGCTGATGTTGATCATCACTCCAGAGATGAGGACCGCCGTGCTCTGATTCCCAAGACGGAGCAGAGCAACATGAGTAGTGTGTAGGCTATCACCTACCTTATATTGTAAATAGATTCTAATTGACCTTCTACTTGTATTTCAAGAAACGTCTTGCTCCACCACTACAGTGGTTAAGCAATGTACCCCCGGTGTCCCACCAAGGCCTACCAAGGAAACTCATAACCACAATAAGATAAACCGTGGCCCCCAATGGCAAATCATAATAACGATAAGGTTTCGGCTCCGCACCACCCCGCCTCTATAAAGTCTGTTACATCGACATGTTTACTGAATGTAGTAACATCGGCAGCTCGTGCATGTCGGCTTCTACGCAGGAAATCATCACGTAACTAGATCCCCGTGGATGAAGCAATTGCCGAGCACTCCATGGGGCTGGCTTTGTATAGTGTCTGGGCGGAGGAGAGCAGGGCGGGGTAAGGTGGGACGACCCAAATAGCAGCCCCTATTGTTCAGATTGCCGGGATTGTGTTTGTGGTAGTTGTAATTGGTGTATATTGATGGTTTTTGTGGTATGCTGTACCACTTTCTAGAAGCACAGAGTACTGCTAGTCGGTGTTATGGGAGAGACAACACCGAAGAGGCACCCAATGCTGAAGCAGATGGTGAGGTCTCATTATATGTCTGTATTTATAATGATTGTATTAGTAGTATCACGTATTTGATACTCTACATTATCGCAAGAAGATATTCAGCATAGATAGTAGACAAGGTGTAAGTCGAGATAAGGTGAAGCACGCAATCCCGCGCCTCTCTACGTGATTTGGACCCTGGAAGGCCGGAGAAAGATTAAGGCAACGAGGCGGGGACACAATGGCAGCCGCGCACCATTCCCAGAAGGGAAGGGGCCTCTTATCTCCCGCTAACCCCCGCATTTTGGCTGTCTCCTCCGTGGCCACCGTTGATAAGCTCCTCTTCCTTGGGATTGTCTGCCTTCCTGTTTCCAAATTACCCCTCGCTGCAACCACTCACAATCCTCTCCTATCGTCTCGCTAGCTGCAACCTGCTCTTAACTAACATCCCCTTCAATCAATCAGAATGAACGTCCGGAGTCGAACTGGCTGTTTAGCTTGCAAGAGTAAGTCTATCCGCTCGATCAGCCGGCCGCCTGCATGGCCACGCTGCCCAATGTCCTCGTGCTGATAAGGTATCTTAGAGCGCAAGCGTCGCTGCGGAGGTAAGATCTACAGCCTGCTACAATCAGTACCATTGCTCTTAGTGCCACGGAAGGTCTGAGCTAACCAATTGCCAAATCAGAGGAGAAACCCGCTTGCAGAAACTGTGTAGTGCGCGGATTTCAGTGCCCGTACCTGTCGGAGAACTCACAACTGATTAATCTAAGGTTTAAGATCTCTCTTGGTAGGTAGACCTGCAACTGACGCTTGAACGGTATCCTAACTGCTTCTAGCAAATGGCTACCGGCTCCCTCTCAAGAAGCAGAATCGGAGGCACTTCATCTCCGTTTCGGCCGAGGATGTCGCCTTGCTATCGTCTGAGCATAACCAAGAAATTGTACCCGCAGAGAAAGATGATACACGCACTAAGAACCTAAATGGCCACGCACTTAACCCGGTCAGACTGGAAGGATCGGTCTTTGCATCCCCTCTAGTCGATTGCAGTGGGCTCGAGCACCAACTATTCCAGTATTGTGCGTGCCCCAAAAGATAACTGGCATATCCATGGCTAATTCATACACAGATCTGCAGGTAATCAGCAGGGTGAGAGTCTTCCGTGATGATTCAAGAAACAAGTTTCGATCTCTTGTCGTCCCATTCTGCTGCGGACGGAGACCGTTGCTCTACGCGGTTCTGTCCGTCAGCGCCAATGACCGTCGCGCCGAAACAGTGCCGACACACATAAACTACGAACAGCTAGCGCTTTCGTACAAGTCCCTCGCATTGAAGTCCCTTCGAAAATCTCTGTCGGATGTTAGTAATGCAAGCGAGGCCCTCATGACCTGTCTCATCCTGTGCACCCTGGAGATTGCCTCAGGCTGCCAACCGGATTGGGTGCGTCATGCTAAAGGTGCCTTTGCCATCATAAACAGCTGCTCGAGCATGATAGATCCTGAGATTTTGTTTTTCGCCCGGAGCTACTTCCAGTCTCGCACTGTCTTCTTCCGCACCACGGGCTGCCATGACGATCTACATGACAAGGATGCGGAGCGTCTGCTAGAGCCACAGACGGGAATCGATCATGGCATGGATTTTTTCTCACAATGCACAACCCTTGGAATCAATTATGCTGACGAGCGGACGGAGATCCAGCCCCATTTTGGCTGCTCCCTCAGCTTGCTCGACATCATCGCCCGGGCAACAGACTTGGTCAGCCAGAAACAGAAGCTTCGTCGCAATGGCTGCAATTCATTCTTTTCCGAAGGAGAAATGATGCAGCGGGCCATGTCACTACGGAGCGAGCTGGACTTATTGCCTAAAGAGCACTCCCCAGACAGCGAGTATCTGACAACCTGTGGAGAGTGCTTTCGCATGGCTGCCGACCTATACTTGCAATTGGCCTGCGATATCCCCTTGACCCAGCCAGCCCTCCAGACACTGTTGGGTAAACTGCTGGATCACATTGGCAAGGTCATCCGCGAGGACCAGGAGCGGCAGCTCTTCCCAATGTGGCCAATATTTCTGGCAGGTTGTCTGTCCACCACCGACGAGGACAGGGGGCGCGTTCTCAATTACTTCACCTATCTCGCTCATGCATGGCCAGTCAGCAACATCCCCATCGTGCGTGAAGCCACAGAGACAGTTTGGAAGTTCCGAGACCTCAACCCTCATGAGTGTGGAAGCGGATTCGATTGGCAAATGATTATTAGCCGGATGAACTGGAAATTGGCACTGTCGTAGCTGTGATTCTTTTAAGCCTGCCAATTAACGATATATGAAGATAAATAGACGAAGTTACATGACACTTATAGCAATAACGGATCCCAATTCATACCACACAAAAAGCAAGTCTACAGCTTCGGAGCCGGAGCTAGTCTGACTTCTTCAAACTCCCTCGTCTCCCCCAAACGCCAACTAACATCTCCCTCCCACTTCCCCTCCTTCTTCTTACCACCCTTCCACCTCCACCTCCCCACCCCCTGCTTCCTCTCCTTCAACAATGTAAACACCCAATCCCCCACAATCGGCAACATCTTAAACAAATGCCCCGAATCTCCCGAACAGAGAACAACCGAGCCCTCCGTCTCCGGCACAAAATCAATAATGAACTCTGAATCACTCGTATCCGCAAACCAACACAACTTCTTCTCCACAAAGGGCCGATCCGCAAACTGCGGCAACGACTCCCTCAACAACCTCCTCATCCTCTTCTCATCCTCCGCCGGCAACACTCCCTCACTCTCCTGCAGCGTCTTCGGCGGGGTCGACACCCCCGACGCGGGATCCGTGTTAATATACCCACCGCCCATCGGGCAGATCTTGAGTAGATTGGTCTTCGGATCCGGCTCGAAGTAGAATCCTAGATCGCGTGCATAGGTTACTGGAATTCCGCGGAGCATGGACGTCTCCTCGTCTGTGAGTTTGACATGTCCCAGCGACCACGACTTCGCGACGACTTGGCCCCCTGCTTCAGGGACGAGAGTAGATGCCGCGGCACCAATGGCGACAACGGCGAGTTTGCAAGGGTAGGTTTTGCCATTGGCTGTGCGGACGCCTGTTACTTGTTTCTTGTTTGTGGGGGATGAGTAGATTAGCGAGGTCACGCGGCCGATGTCTTCGCCGAGGAAGAATTTCACGCCACGAGCTGCGGCGGCTTCGTACACGGCGCGGAGAGCGTTGGCCGAGTGCGCGTACCCGGCTAGTTGGTTGAAGTAGCCGTTCCAGCCTGGGAGAGGGCCGGTGAGTTGCCAGGCGATGTTGCGGATGTCGGCTGGGGTGGAGATGGTGGTTAGTTTGCCTTTGTAGGTGGGGTGGTTGCGGATTGAGGCGAGGAAGCGGTTCATTGTCTGCGAGGCTTTTTCGGGAGCGGCGCCGGAGACGAGGTGCAGGAAGCCCGTTTGGTGGTAGTGCGGGGCGTAGAGGGGGGTTTTCCAGCCTTCGATGGCTTGCTGTTTAGAATGGGGTGTTAGGTGTGTGGATGATGGAATTGGATAGGGAAGGGGGAAGAACGTACGAGTGTCAGTTCAGTGTACCATGGGTCTTCATATTCTGCGCGCACGATCTTGTTGATGTCGTGGCCCGCGGAATAGCGGGCTGGGACTTGGTTGTCTCTTTCGAAGACGGAGACGTTGGTGAAGCCGTTGCTGGAGAGGTGGAGGGCTGTGGTGAGGCCGAAGACACCAGCGCCGATGATGGCGATGGGATCGGACTTGGATGTTGATACCATTGTGGGATGGTATACGGGGGCACAATTGGGGTGTGAGAGGGGAAGGGGGAGAGAGTCAGCTCAGGTGATGATCACTGAGTGGGAGCATGAGAGGTTGATTCATCCCGATGAGCTGCAATGGGGTTATATACTAGTAGTATCAAGACATTGGAATCACTTTGCAATTCGAATGAATCATACCATGTACAGGTAGCATGCTGTGAGCATGAACAGGTCGGCAGTTACTCCTCCCCCGTCTGCCCCCGCTGTACCTCCACCAGAATTGGAGTGCACATACCAGAAACGCGCAGCTATAGTGTAACGTGCAGCTTATCGGAGTGGCTCGAGCGTCTGGTGCATCTGGAGTTGTGGGTTAGCGCAAGCGATACATACCGGATACACTATCTTACTGTTCATGTGGGGATTGTCATCTTGGAGAAGAACGTGGGCGTTGGAGGCGTTAGCGTGAACGATGATCGCCGGTTAGTGTATGCGAGGGTCTAGAGATAGGCGGTGACGCTAGTAGATAGCTGTATCGGCTGGATAATGGGGATCTGGCCTCCAGAGATAATCAGTCGGTGGGTCTTGCATGAGGGGATACATGGCAATAGCCGATAGGAGGTGCGGGGGCTTCGTTGCAGCTGGAAAAGTCAATAATAGTTTTGGTTTTGAAAAGGGACAAGGAAGGGTTTACACATCCTGGCTCTAAGACATGTTTTTGGTAAACGGTGAGAGTAGTAGTACAGATCGCCTTCGCGCAAGAGAATGCGTTGGCTCGAGATTTGCTGAGATGATAATCATGGACGAGTTCGATGCCTGTGGTTCATTGAAGGTGAAGGTGAAATTGTAGAGTGAACAGGCTGTCTCGAAGTAGACGGTCACCTGATACAACAGGGCAGTCTATGCTGATGTCTACAATTGGAACTTGGTAGTGCTAAGATACTATCTACTCATGAGGAAAAAGTATAAGGTGAATCGTTATCATTGCAAATTCTATTTTTACACACTCCGACCTCCGATTTCATGTCTCATGGCGCCTATATGATATCCAAACCATTACTCGTTGCTGGGGTACCGGAAGCCGTTCAAGGGGAAGAATTCCTCCTTGATAGTTCTAGGACTGGCGAATCTCATGAGGACATTGGCACTGCCAGCCTTGTCGTTGGTTCCACTAGAGCGACTTCCACCGAATGACTGTTGTCCGATCAGGGCAGCAGTAGTCTTGCAGTCTGTTGCGTAATTCGTTAGTAGTGAAATCTAGAGGATTATAGCATCATCACTTACTGATGTAGAAGTTTCCAGCAGAGTAACGCAACGTATCCTCAGCCTCGCGAATGGCACGCCGATCGCCTGCGAATACAGCTCCAGTCAGAGCAAATCCACCGCCACTCTGGTCGACTGTCTTCAAAACCGAAGACCACTCGGCATCAGGGTAGACATAGACTGCGAGAACTGGACCGAAGATTTCCTTGTCAAACAGCTCATGGTTGGGATCCTTGGCCCGGTAAACAGTAGGGTGCACGTAGTATCCCTTCGAGCCGTCGTAGGTACCACCGGCAATCAACTCCAAGGATGGATCCTTGTTGCTGGCATCGATGACCGACTTGATCTTCTCGAAAGATGCTTTGTGGATGACAGGGCCCATGAAAGCTCCCATGTCCTCGGGAGAACCAATCGTGATCTCGTTGATCTCGGACTTCAACTTCTCCAAGAACTCCTGTGCCCGAGACTCAGGAAGGTACAGTCGGGACGTGGCCGAGCACTTTTGTCCCTGGTACTCAAAAGCACCACGAAGAGTGTGGTAGACAGCACTCTGAATATCGGCAGTGGGATGGACCAAGTGGAAGTTCTTGCCACTGGTCTCGCCAACCAGACGAGGGTAGTCCCGGTAGACCTTCTTGCCAATGTTTTCGCCGACCTGAGCGTACAGAGAACGGAAGACGTCCGATGAACCGGTAAAGTTGAGACCACCAAATTCCCTGCGTCCGAGCACTGTCTGTGTAATCTCTTGCGCATCACCGGTAACGAACTGGATAACATTGGGAGGCAGACCAGCTTCCAGGAGGATCTTGTAGACGAGCTCACTCGCGTACACGTTCGAATCGGAAGGCTTCCAGACGACGACATTGCCCATAAGAGCTGGGCCGCTAATTAGGTTTCCGCCAATAGCAGTGAAGTTGAAAGGCGACACGGCGTAAACGAATCCTTCCAAGGGTCTGTAGTCCACACGGCTAGAGAACAGTTAGTACCTGAGAGTCCCAAATTTCAAAGCTTTGCACTTACGTCCACATTCCCTCAGTACCGCGGTCGGGCTGCTTCTCCAGCAGCTCAGCAGCATAGTTGCAGTTCAGACGGAAGAAGTCGGCCAACTCTGCAGCTGCATCAATCTCACCCTGCCAGATGTTCTTGCCTTGTCCCAGCATCGTAGCAGCGATGAGTTCGTATCGGTATTTGCCGGCGACAAGCTCGGCAGCCTTGAGAAAAATGGCAGCCCGGTCGACAAAGGGAGTGTTCTGCCACGCTTCTTTTGCCTCCAATGCTGCATCAATTGCCGCATTTACTTGTGCAGCATTCACGCTAGGGTAGTTGGTAAAGGTAGTGGCATGTTCGGCGGGCAGAGGCTGTTGCAATGTGTTGGAGATCGAGAGCGCTTTGCCTCCGACGTATGCCTGACTCTTGAGCGGCAGTTGTGACTTCATCTGCTTTAGCACTTTTTCGACCTCTACCCTTTCGGGAGAACCCCTGGTGTAGTCCAGCTATCATGGAGAGAATTAGTATATGCGTGCTATGGGAGTGGGTAGGAAGCCAGCAACTCACGTTGGGCTCATTTCTAGCATCTGGCAGACGAAAAGGAACGGTCGCAACACCGCGAGCTCGAAGAACTGGAGCTCTAGCGGCACGGCGTCCTAAGGTGCGTACGCTGGGTGAGGGTTGAGACAAGGGTAGTTTGAAGGCCATTATGATAGTGTCTGGTAGCAGAGGCCGTAGAGGGAAAACTGAGCATAGACCTGGAAGAGACGAACATGGTGAACATCATTCTTATGTATGATGCTGGTCATGGTGCTGGCCATGGTGCTTGAGGAGTCAACTGCTTGGCAGACCGATGTTCGGCGCTGTTGCAGCTGGAATTGAGGAGAGTGAGGAGTAAGATCCACCGATTTGGAGTCCATCCAGCTGGCGGGTAAACTAGCCCGGCACTTGGACCTTCCCGGCTAAGTATAGTGGCGGGTACACTAGCCTTCCGCTGGAGATCCCCCTAATGCGGCATGAAACCGTTCCTTGTGGTCTACCTCTTGTTAACGCCATCTTACTTCAATTCCGCATGTCAGCCACATCTTAGTTTGCCTATCGCGTCTAGATAAGCTAGGGCATTGGCTATCTTATCCACGCAACATTACCGATAGGCTTTCTCACCGGTTAGAGCGAAAAGAGTCACGCTCATGTGAGGGGTGCCCGACTGCCCCTCCTTTCGTACACAGCATGTCTGGTGAAGAGCATTATCGGGCTATAGGCCGGTCAGGTCGACATGTTGCTTGTCATAGCTCCAGCTTACAAGCCTTGTAAATTCTGAGCGCAACAGCCCTAGACCCTTAGGCTTTTCAATGCATCTCCACGAGGTATGAAAGTTCTCCAAAATTCAGCACAAAACTGGGCATCCCTTAGAATGAAGCCAATTGGAGACTGAAACCCCTGCTGTTGAGCCGATTGTATCTATTTAATCGAATATCTCTCTTCCAGGGTGTATTTGAGTGCCTGGAACTTCGGAATGTCGCCTGAACGTGTCACCACGGAGCCATTGCACTCCCGTGGCTGGGATAATGACTGGCTCAGGCAGTTAGCCGGCGATATAGTCGCAGGATCACTGTCTGCAACGATTATCGCCCCGATCACAACAGTTATCGACCGGTACGTGTCATGAAGACAACCCGAAAAATCCATGTGCTGATATGTTGAGTGTAGGAGCGTCGTGGAGAGGCTCTCCTCAAATAGATCCATCCTGCATACACTTCGCACACATGCCATTTGCTCCATCCTCCAACCGAAAAAGTTTTACTTTTCCCGACCTTTCTTCATTGCTTGGTCTCTTTACGCCGCAACCTACGCTACCGCAAATGCCACCGATACAAGCCTCGACCAGATTTCCAGAATAAGAGAGAAATCAACAAGCGCGAGTCTCGTCGCAACGTTCAGCTTCCTCCCAACATACGTCGTCAATGTGTCTCTGGGAATCCTAAAGGATATCCGGTTCTCTCAGATTTATGGACACCCAGATGGTCATCTCAAGCAGCCACCTCCCATCCCAAGACTCGCGTATATGGCATTTCTTTTCCGCGACAGCATCACCATATCCAGCTCGTTCACGCTGGCTCCGCAGGTGGCCTCGTTAGTTCCAGATTGGATCACTGCAGACCCGCATACCAAGAGAACTGTGACTCAACTCGCTCTCCCCGCTTTGGTGCAATATGTGAATACGCCATTCCATATGATCGCGTTAGATGTTATTGCTCGTCCACAAGTGGCCACGATAGCAGAAAGATCCGTTACGGTACGGAGAGGCTATATGCAATCATCATCGCTGAGGGCAGCAAGGGTTCTACCGGCGTTCGGAGTGGGGTGTATAATCAATACGGATTTGAGGGCATCTTTGCACAGAAGATGGATGGTTAGATAGGGCAAATACCAGTGCGGGGCACAGCAAACGAGAATAACTTATCTCTCCACTTGATTGTCATGACCATCATTTTTGCGGGCACGTATCAGGACCGCGGCAGTAGCCGGACGGTTCCTAAGTATTTGGGCCCGTTACGAGGATCAGCAAAGCGAGTAGCCGAGTGCAAATGAAGATGCCAGATGTGGATGCACTAACCCCTGGCTCCCGGGAGGGGTAACTCGTAGCGCGCAGGTATGGATGTCATTGCTTTTGTGTATGGTAAGGACGGGTATCGGCTGTTGGCTCGATGCAGCAACCCGCTATCTCTTCAGCGCATACACTAACCTCACCTGCAAGGTTTCACTAGGGCTGTGAATAGCTTAATCTCCATCCCTTGGCCACGCTTCTGTGCACTCCTGCTCCACATCTGCAGTTGAGCGAGCCGCTCACAACAGGCGAAAGAAAAGATAAGTGCCCAGGCGCTATCGAAGCGAATACTGATTAGCCAACGATTACTCGACCCGTGCCATCATATCTCATTGACATGTTTTCCCCAGACGCTAATCAACTATGCTTATCCCCGCATCGCTGAGCCTTTCCCGTTCCGACACTCTATCCAATCAGGCTATGGATCAGCCATATCTATCCATGAGCTTCCGCTGTGGAAAAGAACAGCCACCGGAATTCACTATCAGCACCCAGCAGGTAGCCTTTGAGGGTTAGAAGGCCCAAATACACGTATAGGAAATACGTCATGCTAGCGGAGATAAACCGATGCCTCGCAAATGGTCCTTGTGCATTGGCTGACTGCAACCCTCAGGTCGATATGAACATGGATGCCTCAGGCAGATGGCATATCGGCCTCTCACTGGGTCAATAGCATGGCCAGGTGCAAGCCAACTTGGCTCAAATAGGCCAGATGTTCTCGAGTCTCACCTGCAATCTCACCACTTCTTGTGCTGAGCCTACTGTCCTCACTCCCTCTTTACACTTTCATATAGGATATCCATCTAATTGTCCTACCACTTGGTCATCCTGAGAAGAATGAGTGCTTCGATAGGACCCAGAGACCTGGCAGAGATTCATGACACTCCTGCGTATGACTACGGACAGGATGTGGAGAAGAAGCATCTGGATGATACATCCCCTGAAGAGGAAGATCCATTTGGAAACGAAGAGTTCGCAGAGGTGAAATATCGGACGATGGGTTGGTGGTAAGTTCTACATCCCCTGCCCCTAGACTACGCCTTGGCCCTGTATCTGACCCTTCTTCGCAACATGCAGGAAAACAGGGATACGTGAGCCTCAAGCCTATTACGGTCACCAAAAATACATAGACCCCTAACTCTTATTGTCTACAGTCATGGTCGCAGAGAATGTTTCTATTGGAATTCTTTCCCTTCCATCCGCCTTTGCAACGCTGGGATTTGTCCCGTAAGTAACTTGCTACACTGGTAGACGAAAGCTAAGCCTAGTCTAGGGCTCTTATCATACTAATTGGAATATCCGCTATATCATGGTACACGGCATACATTCTTTGTCAGTTCAAGTTACGATACCCCCAGGTCCACAGCATGGGAGATGCGGGTGAAATCATAATGGGGCGATTCGGACGTGAACTGCTTGGTATCGGCCAGCTACTGTTCCTTATATTCGTTATGGCCAGTCACGTCTTGACCTTCACGGTTCTCATGAATACGATTACCGAGCATGGTACTTGCACAATCGTGTTTGGTGTTATTGCACTGGTTGTCAGTTGCGTCGGTGCCTTACCACGCACCATGGACAAGGTATATTGGATGTCAATTGCCTGTAAGCGCCTTCCCACCTTTCACACTTCACTTTAATTATGATGCTAATTTAGTTTCTGTATAGCATTTCTCAGCATTGTAGCGGCAACTATGGCCACTATGATAGCGGTCGGCGTAGAGTACAAAGGCCACATCCCTCTTGCTGCGACTACCCATCTCAGTTTCAACGAAGAATTTCTGGCAGTCAGCAACTTGTTCTTTGCTTATGGTAAAGTCCCGGGCTAATTGCATTTTGTGAGCAATTTAACTAACTTCATGACCATCAACAGTCGGCCATGCGTCATTCTTCGGATTCATCTCAGAGATGGACAAACCTCGAGAGTTCACCAAGTCCATATCGGTACTCCAAGTCATTGATACCTCGCTATACATAGCTAGCGCAGTGGTTATATACCGCTACGTAGGTGCGGACGTTCAATCCCCTGCATTAGGCTCTGCGGGGCCCCTAGGAAAGAAAATTGCCTACGGGCTGGCTATTCCGACTGTATGTTACTTACTGTATCTTCTGGAACGACTACTGATTAATGTTCCCAGGTCCTTATTGCTGGAATTGTCAATGGCCATGTAGCCAGCAAATACGTGTACGTGCGTGTTTTCCGCGGCACAAACCACATGCATGAACGGACATTGCTCTCCATCGGCTCATGGGTCGCTATTGAATTGATTTCCTGGGTAGTTGCCTGGGTCATCGCAGAGTCAATCCCAGTCTTCAACAACCTTTTGAGTCTAATTGTACGTGGCCATCTCCTGCTACAGAACATGCATGCTAACCTCGATGAAGACTGCACTTTTTGGCTGTTGGTTCGCTTGTGAGTTTCAAAAATTCTAAGATGCTACGGATCATACTAACTACGTCTCATAGATGGGTTCCCTGCTATCTTCTGGTTCACCTTGAACAAGGGCCAGTGGTTCGCATCAACTAAGAAAATATTTCTTACCGTGTCTAACACGTTCATTCTGGCCATGGCAATCACCCTTGTATGTATCCCTTGATCCTCGAGAATCTTGTCGCTAATTGTCCTGTCCAGTGCGGTCTCGGGTTATACGTATCGGGAGATGCGATCAGCAAAGATAGTGGAAGTGGTGTCTGGACGTGTGCTAACAATGCTGTTTGAGTGACCTATCCTCAACTATAGCTGATCATCCTTCGAATTACTTCGAGTCGTTCAGCGATATACTTCTCTTGTTATGATGATGGTATTGATGAGCAGTTAGTTCTGGTCCATTGTATCAAGATGTTTTGAGCATGTGTTTCTGTATTGAGCAATAAACGTATGTTCTCTAGCGAATGTAAACGAATCAGTTCCATATTTCACAGTAAATTGAAGAAATGTAGAACAATAAGGGAACTGCATAAGCATCTTCCTCATGCTTAAACATTCCCTCGTTGTAGCACTATAGATATATCACTAGTTAGTATACCCATTTACTAGGCCATCCAGCGTATATGCTGACAGTTACACTACTTACTATTTCATTGACCAGGACCTTTCGAGTCTATCTCCTCAATACGGAAGTACTAATCACACTATATTCCAATCACAAGTACTCTGATAACTAGTTTCTATACATAAGATTAAGTTACTAATAAACTTCATCATTTGTAATGATATATATCTGAAACTGTAATATGTCACAACATTGATATTTGATCAACATTCCTTGTAAGCCCCTTCCGTTTCTAGGAAAACTCATTCAACTGAATACACCTACCAGCCTCTTATTCTGGGCCGAGGAAAAGTTTTGGAATGGTGGTGACACAATCGATCCTATAGCCATCGGTTTCATATCACCTTATCTAGATAAAAAATAACTTCAGAATGGTACCTCACCAGCCTAAATCCCTATCAATCAATTGCATAATAGCAACCTCAGCAGGCCACACTTCCACAAAGTCCTGAACTCGCCATGACCAGTCTTCATCCCACTCGAAAATGAAGGGGTGCGATGCACAAAAGAACTCCCAAAAGTCAGGAAACCAACCAGCATTCTCCCAGTCAACCAGCACAACGTCAAACGAACGCTCACCTTGCTCGTTTGAGCAACTTTTATTCTCCACAACCATGATATTCTTCTGCTGAACATCTCCATGCGTCAATGTAGGCCGGTGACCTTGAAGAACGCGAGCGAGATATTTCTCGTAAAAGCGAGCCTTGTAGTCGGGATGATTGTTGCGTTCGACTAAAGCCCTATAATTACCCACCAGGCCAGCGATGAAGGCAGGTTCACCAGTGAAAGGCCCTAGAAACTTCTGATTGCCGTGCTGGCTGTAGAATAGGTAGTGATGTACGCCGCCGCCGTCCAAGCCACCGTAAAAGTCGGGCCATGGGCACTCGACGTGTCGTAAGGTGTTGAATATTGATTGGAGTTTTGCTATAATGCCATCCTTCTCGGATGGGGTTAATACTGACCAGATGGTATCCAGTTGCACACCGGGAATGCGTTGCATGATCAAGAAAAGTTGTTTGCCCTCATAGTACATCGTGTACAGTCGAGGGGCTGGAACTTCGGGGACATGGCGTTCAAGATAAATCAACGCCTGGCCTTCACAGGTATTGATACAACCTCCATATTTCACGACAATATTGTCGTTGATTGTCACGACCTTGGACGCCGTGGTCTCCCAGAGAACATTGGTGCAAGCGCGGATTTCATCTGTTGTAGGTAGTGGAGGCAGAGGCTCGGAGTTCTGGAAGGGAAGATCAACTGGTTTCCACATTGTGGAGAAAGCAGAGATTCGCGGAAGTATTCTTGAAATATGGATCGTCGCCTGGATGAAAAGGGATCGAATGAGCAGTTGATCGCAGATCAGCTAGAATTTCACACTTCGAACTATAATATTTATTCCTAGACCAGTTACAAAATCCTCTTAGATGCTGATAGATCTCAGAAGAAAGAATAGAGTTGTCCCTACCGATAGACACTTGGTATGTGATACTGGAACCTGCGCAGTACCGTGGAATCGGGCTGTGCTGAGGCTACATTAGTCTCCTGCACGGTGACGTGTACAGCGGCTGTAGATGCCCGAGAAACCGCGTGGAAGAGGGGAATTCTTCAGCTCACAACATTGAATTGTTGAGTCTCACCTCTTTACTCAACTCTTCGAAAGTTGCTCATGGACATGGTTCAATTTCCCTTCACCAAAGAATGCTGACGAAGCTACGTGCGAAGCTCTGCTGTTCCCAGGCTGATGGTGATGCTGACGAGGCCAAACCTGCTATTCCCCATGCGAAACGCTCGAATGATGGAGGAAACACCACACCTGCCAAAAGAAGCAGTTCCGAGGCTACTAGCATCCCGCCGGATCACGCTGCTGCCTCACCAAGGATCTCTGGCAAGTAGCATTCGACAGCCTGGACCCGGAACATAAACACTGGTTGCCTGAAGAGGAGAAGAATCCAATCGAAATTATTCGGGAAGTCCTTGGCGAGACAAAGAATAAATATACCGAGTATAAGAAGAAAGAACTGACCATCCGAAGACATAATGGGGGTGAGATCAAAGTCCGCGAAATTGCCCAGAATATCCTGGCGTCCGCATTGAATGCGCAGCAGATAATCACTGCGATCGCAAGCTTCGACCCAAGTGGACATGGTAGGGTTCTCCAAGCCAAAATCTTATATACGCTGAATTCCTTGAATGCTGATATTCAACCACAGCGTCAAGCGCCTGGACGATAGTATCGCTAGGTTTGACGGTAGGCGACTCCCTGAAAACTGTCCGTCGAAAACCGGTTACAGACCCATTTACTCGCTTTTAGATGGTCCAGAGAGATATTGCGCGCAGAGATGTACTCATAGAAGCCTCCGAATACTTGGCGGAACAGCTAGCATACTTCACTGTGATAGATAGCGACCGCCGATATACAAAGGCTTCCGTGGACAAGCAGCTAGATGGTGCTCTTGTGGGAGTCTATACAGCAATACTTGAATACACGGCGGAAGTGAAAAAAGCATATTATGAAAGCGGCTTTGGTTAGTTCGAGTATTCGGTTAGGTTCGCGAATTGCTATAGCGCATATGTTAACATGCATATTTGCAGCTCGCATAGGAAGCACACTCATTCCCCTCACCGAGCAGCCACTGCAAAAGCTTCGAACGGTTGTGGACAATAAGACTACAATGGTTGACAGATGGACTACCGTCACTGATCGCACATGTGAGTTTATTATCTTTAATCCTATCCGTATCTTCAAAGTCCTCAATCGTGTTAGATCTGAGGGGACAGGCTGCGGACATCCTTGCGGCTATTGACGAGACGGTCGAGGAGCTCCAGAAAGTTCATTCCACTGTGCTAAGTGAGTTCTCTCAATACCTCCAGCCCAGAAGCTCATATTCTGACTTTAACAGACGTCGAGGATAAAGGAATACTTGAATGGCTATCTAAGTACGACTTTTCCAAAGCACAGAACGACACTCAGTATTATAGATCACCAGGGACAGGTGATTGGCTTTTGAAGTCAAAACAATATGTCGGGTGGAAGGACTGTCCAGGTAGTATACTATGGTTGCATGGAGTGGGTAAGTTTTCTAGACCTGTTCAGATGGAAAGTACACTGACTTATGGACAAGCGGGTTGTGGTAAATCAGTCATATGGTATGAAAGACCTGCTGGACACGTGTACTGTCGTATCTTAGGCTGACATTTGATTACATATAGCTCGACAATCATTGAAGACATCCAACGAACTTGCCTGGATAACTCGGATAAGCGGTTCGCTTACTGGTATTTCCAATTCAATGACCCGTCATCACAAAGAGTTGAGAATATGCTCAGGACGATCATCCGTCAGCTGCATTCAACACCACTCGACGAGCCTATCCGGAGTCTTTGGAACGACTATGGTACCAAAGGAAGCAATCCAAACAATACAAGGCTTCAGGAGACTCTTGAAAGACTGCTTGATGCCAACATAGAGGAGGTTTTCCTTATCCTAGATGCGCTGGACGAGTGCCCCGAGGCAGTCAATCGCAAGGAAAGGAGTCTTCTGTTACCATTGCTTACTGGACTTCGGAGGAAATACAGTAATAAAGTCCATGTTCTTGTGACTAGTCGGCCAGAGCCAGATATATTTGAGCATCTGGTGGAGTGTACAGCCTTAGACATTGAGGAAAACCAGGGGTCCGATATTTCGGCCTTCGTCAAGGACAGGGTTGATGCTCTGGACGACAGAAGAGCTCCAAAGGAAGTGAAAGCACAGATAATCCAGGAACTGCTACAGGACGAAAAGAGGTATGCTGCATCTCGCCAGCTAGTGCTACTACTAATATACATGCTTATTTGTGCAGACGATTTCGCTGGGCAGACCTTCAAGTGAAACGTCTCGAAGAATGCCGCAACAAGTCTCAAATCATAGAAGCATTGAGTACGATGCCACAAACTTTGCACGACATATATCTCTCTGTAATAGAAAGAATCAACGCGAAACCATCCGATGTTATATACGCCAAAACGATCCTTACCTGGCTCTGTTTCAGTGTCAGGCCTCTCACCCTGACTGAAGTAGCAGCAGCAGCAGGTCTTGAGGTCCCAGAGGACGTGGTAAAAATCTGCACGACTTCATTTGTTGCTTTTCGGCGCTCAAATGATGAGATCAGGCTGGCTCACTTCTCTGTGAAGGAATTCCTCGTTGGTAACGAGTGTACAGGCCAATGGCACCAACTCTCCGCGTTGAATGGGCACACCATGCTAGCTGAGCACAGCCTGAGAATACTCCTACAAATGACAAGGAGACTGTCTAAAGAGGAAGCGCAGCAGGAAGTGCTGCTAGACTACGTTGCCTGTAAAATGGCAGGAGCACTTCAAAGCTTCCGCTGTTACTCCAAGCCCAGCACTCGAAAGCCTCCAAGTGATGGTGGATCTACTATTCCGTCAACCGACTGCCTACCGCAACTGGCGTTATATAACGACAGAATTCGTGGAGGGAGATGTACAGTCAACCCCTATTGGTATCGCATCAGGCTTAGGGCTCATTCAAACCGTGATAGGTTTACTAGAAGAAGGCGCGGACCCTTTAGAGTGGTTTGTATATGGATCTGATAGGATATTTTTCCAGGCACTAAAGAACGCATTACTGATGGCTTCTGAGTATGGGCATCTGGAAATACTGGATTTACTGCTGCACAAGGTGTGCGTGTCTATTGATCTAGCTGAGGGCATAGTGGAAGTTGTTCGATGCTATGCTTCTGAAAGCAAGAAGCTGGAAGATATATTTGACACACTCTCAGCTTCAGGTTCTATTTTCAGTAAAACCGAGAACAAAGGGCTTCAGATAAATGAACGCATTGTTGTCGCTGGAGCGAGGAACGAGGTTTGTGGCATGAAACTTGTGACCATCCTCCTTAATCGGTACGAAGAAACAGGAGTTGCGCTTGTGCCTGTGACAGAGAAAGTGCTGGAAACCATCCTACAAAACATGGAGTGTGGAGACGATATTTTACAGCTCCTTCTTGAAAGGCGCAATGATGATGTCAGAATCTATCCACGAATCAAGGAGATGATGGAATATCCGGTCATCCTGAACAGGCGCGCAATCGCAATCCTTCTTGCACAACGGCTTGTAGAGATCGTGATAGATGAGGAGTTCATTGCTAATTTTGCGAGATACGCGGGTGACGCTGAAATGGAAGTACTTTCAAGTGTATTGGACGACGATTCAATGCTGACTGAGAATGTTCTGGAGAGCGTGGTAACAAGCAGGAGCGGTGTCAGTGTCTTGCGTCAACTTCTTCGCCGACGACAGCATCGGCTATTGGTTAGCGAGGATCTTCTGTGTACAGCAGCGTTCAACGGAGATAGCGAAAAGCTGGAAGCTTTACTAGATGACTGTGGTCTGGATTTTGCAATAAGCGAAAGAGTCATGCTGGAGATTGTGGGCAACGAAATCTTTGGAGCTAAGATGCTCGAAATGCTCCTGCGCAGGCAGCAAGCAGGATTTATCGTCACTCCCGCAATACTGGACACAGCAGCCTCCCAATCAAGTGCCATGAATGTTGTAAAAATACTTATGAACAACGGAGGCTTGAAGGTTCCAATCACTGAAGATACGATGCTCAGAATTGTGAGTGATGACTTGCTGTGTTTTCTACTGGATCTTGAGGAAAGGTCCCAGATACATGCTCTTCCTATCACAGAAGAGTTCATATTGCATGCTGTGGCGACCTTTGAGCCTACCACTTTGGAGGCCGTCTTGCGCAAGCGACCAATGATCTACGTGAGCGAAGATATGTTCGTCGAATGTGACAGTATGTCGACTTTGAAGCTTCTGATGAAACAACCGCATAGCCAATTGCCCGTGACGAGAATGATCGAAAGATTGGAAAAGAAAGATGGTCAAGAACCTACAGATATACTTCGGTTCCTGTTGAATGAGAAGTTCTTTGAGGTTGACCATGGGATTATAGAGAGGTTTGCACATAATGCCTCGGCTTTGGAACTCCTGCTGCAGACAACACCCCGTGTATCCATCACAGAGCAAGCTGCCATCCGGGCAGCTTTCGATTGGGGCGAGGATGCAATTCGCGTTCTGCTCAACGAGCGAATAGACGATTTTCCAATCTCAGAAGAAGTCATGACTGCTGTGGTAGGAAATCATCGTTTAGTTGTATGTTTGCAACGGATTTTGGCACATCATGGCCCACGGGTACCGATCACAGAGAAGGTTCTAGTGGCAGCCTCGGCCATATTAGAAATTTTACAACTTCTCCTTCAAACACTAGGGCCCGATGCGCCTCCTATGCTAACCGAGGGATTGGTTGCGATAGCCACTTATGCAGATCCGTCCGCATTACCGTGGTTACTTGAGAAGTATGGCTCGGCTGTGCCACTTAGCGAAAGAGTCATGGTTGTTGCCGCCGCAACCAGCCTTGACGGGCTACAGTGGCTCCTCCGTGAATGGCCTGGCGATATAGACCTGAGCTGCATTTGGAGAGCGATCTGGAAGTTTGATTATAACTTCTATGGTTTCTCCTATGGTTTTAATAAGCCCACTTTGTCAAGGGTTCAGGAGAACGCTAGTCAGCATGTTCTTCAGTATACTAAAGCAGTTGATCTCTCGGAGGATGTCTTTATGGATGCCCTGGCTTCATCTGCTCTTGATGAAAGGACAGGCAGATACAGTGGGTTGATTTCTCTGATCCGTGTTTGCATCGAACATGACTTATCCGTTCCAGAAACAGGAGGGCTAGTGAGAGTAGTGTTTGATAAGTGCGACTCTAATCTCAAAGAAGCTATTCGTGAGCTTGTCGAGGCGTTTGAGGAGGATGGCAACCTCCCTAAAGGGAAGTTCGGGGGACTATTATTATCGCGAATTAGGGAGAACCATGGAATATCGGCTCCTGAGTCCTAAAGCAGTCTAGGAAATGTTCATCTATCGCATGGTATTGTTGTCGTTCTGCTATAAACCCCGGTATCGAAGCCAAAGAAGTCTAGACATTTTCTCCACTACTTTATCCAGATTCTCCGTCACGGTCAATGTAGAAATGATACATCTCGAGCTTATAGTTATGTAATCTACGCCCATACGCTCCCATGGTGTCCACAATATCCTTCGGACATGTCCACGGAAGCGTGCACGAGCGCGAAAATCGTACCAAGCACGGATTCGATTCTCTTCAGAGAGGATATGCAATGAAAATGAGGTGCATATACCCAATTTTCATTTTTCCCCAACCAGACCGATCATCATTTCCGCTCTCAATATGTGCTGAGGCGCGTATGAGACTCGGCGTTAGGCACCGTCAGGCAGATTGTTTACTTGATATGTTTCGATTCTTAGGTCCGCGACGACCTCTCAAAATGATATATTTAGGGTTTATTTCATAAGTATCTTCTTTCTGGAAACGAGATCTTTGATCTGTTGGTATTGATCATGGTTGTGCCTTCGATCTCCTCATCAAATCATGACTAACGAGGGGGCGGAATCGGACTAAACCCCGGACTGCGGAGTAGTTAGTAACCGACTAGTCAGTTACAACTGTACTCCGAATCCGAGACTAGAGCCTCTCCTTGCTTGGTAAGGGAAACAGTATGACACAGGTGGAGGATTCTTGGCTAACGCGTATTTATACCCCCAAGGCATAAAGGCTCTCATCTACCATTTTATCATCCCTCTATACCCAACTCCACGTCTCCCAGAATGGCCTGCACTTGCATCCTAGTCGTAACTACAGAGTGTAATACGCGTAAGCTCCCCAGAGTTGTATTTTTCATGTCGAACCGTTTCTAATAATGCGCCGTTTATCAGATCATTTCAGATGTGAATGGAGCAAGGCGGACCCTGTCAAGGGCATTGATGACCAGAGACACGAGTCTCTCAACATCGTGCTTTATCCTAAGAACACCTTGATTACTCAGACCGAAGGCATCAACGGTGTTGCGTCAGCAGTGTGCTATGACGATGAACAGAATGATGACAAGGAGTTCAATACTCCACGGAATCTGACACCAGAAATCACCAGCTTTATCATCGAGTCTATCAACAAATGTAAAGGCGTGGATGATAAGTCCCCGGTCATCATGAATTTTATCTTATCTCGGGAAGACGGCTATCTCGCGCGGTCTGATTTCTTACAGCAACGCCTAGATGGGGTGAAGCATGTTTCCTGGGTAGTAGGCTTCTTGCGCCCACTACAACAAGTCTCAACCCTACGAGTCCAGATAAATGGAACGGCGCATGATTTGAGCGCACACTTGTCGTTGTCCGTCGGTGCCATCCTACTTGACACTAGCTCTGGCTCTGGTCTTCACGACACGCTAGATAGTGTCGAAGAGGCATTATGCAACCGGATCTCATACCCATGGGTAGTCTCCACACCAATTCCCCGTAAACGCCTTGCGTGGGTGGAAGGCCGCAAAGACGCGGATGCCAGTCGGCGCATGTACGAGGCGGCAGCAGCCTTGGGGATCACTCTAGTGATCATTGACAAGCCGGGCCACTGGTCGGAGGATGACTACGGGCCGTACGCCCATCTCCGAGAGGGATTCATTGCCACAAACATCGACGTTAATGAGGGGTTTGTGGATAGAATCGTCACAGCTGTCCGCAGCTACGACAAGCCCATTGATGGCATAATGACAGTGAGCGATAGTCGCTTAATCGGAGTGGCTCGAGCGTGTGAAATCCTTGGATATCCTACCTCCCCATCGTCAGCCTATGTGCTGGCCGGAGATAAGTATCGAACTCGCATGATGGAGCCAGACACGCACGGGGCTTTCCGGGTCTTTGGGACGGATGAACTGGAGAAAGTACTTCAGTCTACCGAGGTGAAGTATCCTCTCATCGTCAAGCCTTGCCTGGGATGGGGAAGTCAGGCTGTCACCAAAGTGTCTACGGAAGTTGAGTTATTTGAGGCGGTCGAGAAAGCCTGCGAGTGTCACGCATTAAGTCCGCAGCAGCGGAGCGATGCCGTTATTGAGCCATATATTGATGGCCCAGAAGTCGATGCCAATTTCGTATTGCTGAATGGAGAAGTCATCTTCTGCGAGATCAGTGATGACTTCCCGAGCCCTGGCGATAGGGACTCTCAGCAAAGCCATAACTTTGTTGAGACTATGGTTCATATGCCCTCTGCCCTTCCACCGCATGAATTGAAGGCTATCCGGGAAACGTTGCATCAGAGTATCCTTCGTCAGGGGTTCTCAACCGGTACATTTCATTGCGAAGCACGGTTGCAGTATTCGAGTCATGAATTTCGACAGGATGACAACGGGTTTGAGGACTTGAATCCCCGCAGAGATACTGATTCAAATAATGGAAGGAGTGCGCGCGTGTACCTTCTTGAAATTAACGCTCGCCCAGCTGGATATCTGGAGACTGTTGGCGTCAACTTGGTCTATGGGGTGGATTATTTCGCCCAGCAAATGCTCTTTTCCGTCAATGATGAGCTTCGGTTCAAGGCCCTATGCCACCAATTCCCTGACGGGCCTCGCTCCAACCTCTCAATCCTCGTACTCCAAGAAGACGTTGCTGGGATCATGAAGACCGAAGATGCTACAGCGGAGCTCCTGCGCCAGCACCCCGAACTGGAGCCACATGTGCCGCTGTACGCGACAATCAAGAAGAAGGGAGATAAACTGGTTGGGCCAAAGTCGAGTGAGGTTCATTTCATTGCGTGGATGTTGGTCATGGCTCAGAAGAGGCGCGAGTGTCTGCGGTTGGTGGAGCAAATACGAAGCAATTTCCGCTATGAAGTTGAATAGCATCTCCTGGCCAATAGTAACGGTTCCTATTTCTTGGCCCAGCGAATAGTAAGTCACTCCTAAACCTCCAAGTCAAGCATATCGATACAAGCCCTAGCAATATCTGTCTAGTCTTGTTGTTCTCCATTTGTGCAAAGACTCCGCGTAGTATGCTGCCAGTGTCCTTAGTGTGATAGGAAGAGTGAGAACGAATCACAAACATATGTGGAGTACCGCCAGGACTGTCATTGCGGCTGCAGTTTTAGTCTAACCCTCAATGCTTGTCTCTGTCGTTTTACACGGTTGTCTCACCTCCTTCAAATTCCTTCTTCATCCAACCAATCTTCCTTGTATCTTCCATATTCTATCCGACTGTACGCTCTGGCCTGACCAGACATCTATCACTACCACCACGTGCTTTTAGCCCGCATCTCTACCCCTCTGCATCCCACCCCTCCAAAGCCTCAACAAAAGACATCTCCGCTCAAGACTTACTTCGACGAGCTTGAATAAACCAACGGTGACGATGAATGCAGGAAGTGGCTGAACAGACTCTTCGACGCACGAGCCGAACTAGCAACATTCGTCGCTACGCGCCGGGAAGGCAGAGGAACCGGATCCTACGTTGAATTCCTCGAAGGCTCCTTCAACTTCGGCTTCCGCTACACTTTCAGCGATGGACGACCGGACACCATTATTCGGTTCCCCAAACCGGGGCATACTGCTACAGCTTACAGAGACGAAAAGGTCACAAACGAAGTCCAAGTGATGGAATACCTCCGTCAACACACCGATATCCCCATACCCCTTATTCACAGCTGGGCTTAACCTCCGATAGCCCACATAATCTTGGTCCATTCATCATCATGGACTATGTCACCGGAACCCTCCCATCAAACGTCTTAAAGAAGCCGGATGAAGAAGACCTGTATCTAAGCCCGAACATCGACAACACCCTCCTAGACAAAATCTACTATCAAATCGCCCGCTACCTACTCCAACTTTCCCACCTTACATTCCCCCAAATCGGAGCTATCTCGAAAGACAACACATCCAACACATGGCACGTCCTCAACCGCCCCCTAACATACAACATGAACGAGCTAGTCACTGTCTCCGGCTACGCTGCTAATAAATGGCCAGCGGCACCCTTTGACCGCGCCAGCAATTACCTCGCCTCTCTTGCAAACGAGCATCTAACCCATCTATACACTCAGCGCAACATAGCCGATGATACAGACATCGCTCAAGACCGATTCATCGCCCGCCATCTCTTCAAGCAACTCATCTCCAAATACTATCCTACAGAAAACAACGAACCATCCATACTCTTCTGCGACTACATGCGACCTTTAAATATGCTCATAGACCCAAAGACACTCCAAATCACTGCCATTCTGGACTTTGAATTCACCAACGCCATGCCGGCAGCGTTCAGCTTTGATCCGCCCTGGTGGCTATTACTGTCTGGACCGGAGGTGTGGCTTGAACGTTGTGAATTGGACGAGTTTCTCAAACTTTATGAGCCCAGAATGGAACAGTTCTTGCGTGCTCTGGCGAGGGTGGAGCACGAGATGGAGTATAAGCAGCCCGGTCATTTGTCTCTGTCTGCCAGGATGCGCGAGTCATGGAGGACCGGTCAGTTCTGGTTCGATTATGCGGCTAGGAAGAGCTTTGTTGTTGATGTTGTTTATTGGGATACTCTACTTTCTGCTGGTACTGGTGTTGAAGAGCTTGAGGAGAAGGTGCGTGCGGAGCTGGAGTTTTTTAAGAGGTTGAAGATGGAGCAGTTGAAGGCGTATAAGGAGGAGTGTTTGGTGAGGTTTTGTTCGGATATATAATGGACAAACGGTGTCGGTTTCTGTTTTGGTGGTTGTTATTTTGCTTATCATCCTGCTCCCTGGTAGCTACATCATTATAGCAAGCAAGTGCGTGATCGACCGTGACGAGACTTATCCATTATGAATCTTATTTGACTGCTTCATCTTCTCGACTTAAAATAATTTAAATGAATATCCATGAACAATCCGATTTTCTTAATTCCCGAGGAGTGTGAAAATATGTAAATATTTGAAAGAGAACACACTGTAGTACTACCACTACTCAATCTAATTAAGGCTAGCTTTAGAACGAAGATCCAAAGCTCAGTCTTGTTTACTCTTATACAAAAACTGAATAACCTGCTGAAACTACTGATATGCGCAGCAAGACCCTCTCAGGGGTACAAAGACACTTCTATAATAGGAGGAGGATATGTCCAAGGTGATCATGATGCATCGCTGTTCTCATTCGTTATCCCCAGCCTGCGGGTATCAAATTCTAAAGATTTTGGAGCAAGACACTAGAAAAATATAACACAAGTATATGAACACAGAGAAGAAAAAGACGAAGCCATTGACAAGCATAGTATCGATCGAGCTTAAGCTCGGATCTGCTTGTCATGGATAGAGAGCTAAGCTAAGAGCCGTTATTCAACAGCACAAGCAATAGCTTACTCGGTAGGAAGCCAGCATTTCGTATACGTGACATGGCTAGCTTGGGTGAGCAAGGGCAATAGGTTCAGGTCGAGGACGGAAACTGGTGGGTGGATGCTGCGAGGTTGCCGCACGGGCGGTCATAGGAGGGTTCTTGCTTGTGTCAACCGGCAATGTGCAAGCATCGGATGATATGCCACTGGTGCTATGTGGTCATATTCGGTTATGTAAGGACACGTTGTATAGGTAGAGCCATTCAGTGTCCTACTGGCGGAGCCAGCTGGTTTGATGAGTCGTAATGTAGATTATGATGCAAAGCGATTGATCATGACAGCTTATAGAGACGGGTCATCCTTCCAAGTTCCTGGTTGCCACGTTAGCTTCAAGTCAAGCAATAGACAAAATAGGTGGCATACCTTCAAAGTGATGTTTCACGAATGCCATAGGATCATCGACATCCCCAGCACCCATTTGGTGCACTCCCGGGCTGAAGCTAGTGATGGGCAGAACCACCACGTCTCCCACCTTCTTATACCCCTCCTGCCCGGTGAAGTCCTCATACGTGATGTTCAACGTCGAGCCGGGTTCAATGTTGAAGTAGTCAGGGTCGTTGAAATACCGGAAAACGGCATCCGTCCAAGCGCCGGGCCCAGTGTACTCCATGACAGTCTTATCCATCTTGCCAGTCTTCAGAATACCCGCCTTCTTCATCCGCAATGTCTCCTCCGTGATGTAGGAGACAATATCGCGCATGATGGGGTGTCCGGGCTTGGCTTGAATGGTCCATTGGCAGAACTGGATTCTGCGCGCATACCAGTCATGCCAGTCGGGGCGGTCAGGATCCGCCTCAATGCCCACCACCGCTCCAACTGTGGCCAGATCCAACTCTGCTGGCAGCCAGTCAGAGGCCGGCTTCAACGCCGTCGTATCAATATCGCTGTAGATTCCACCCCGTGCGAGAAGGATCAAGTAGCGGAAAAAGTCGGCCTTCAAGACGGGCAGCGGCATAGCATCGTAGGCCTCGAACACATCCGGAACAGCGCCGTACAGGTATTTGATCAGATGGCGTTGGGTATCATCGGGGACGACCTCGTGGACAAATCCGGGATGTAGCTCGGACCAGCTGGACTCGGGATCACGAAGGCTTTCGCTGAAGAACATGGAGGAGGGCGCATATTTCCACGTCTGCCAGATGAATGCAGGAAACTTGGCTTCCAGATCGTAGGGAAAGTGGTAGCGCAAGCGCTCGCGCAAGGGGGCGCTCGGTGGCGGGGTCAGCGGCAGCTGTTGTACGGTGTCCCTCGTTCCACCTTTTCGATCATTGTCTGCATGGCCATCGTAATCCTGGTTGTATAGGTGTCCGGCGGAGGCGGTCTCTGGGGACGGGAGGGAAGAGGCGGGATGTGACGATCGGAGGTAGACGATAAAGGTGATCAGAAGTGCAGCCGCTAGTAGCGACTTCCGAAAGGTGAGCATCGCTATGGATATATGCGAAGATCGCTGATTAGGTGTATTGCCACAGAGGCGCAATGAGCTGGCAGCAGCTGTGTTATGTAGAACCGCAGCCGGTCTTCTCCGCAACTCCGCCGACGATCAAAGCAGATCAACGCCAGGCAACGATAAACGCAAGATCGATATGTATATCGTGTCAAAAGCCGTTTCGCCAGAAGTAGTGTCAGCAATTTCGCATTGCTAGCTGTTTTGTGCGATCGTGCCACTGCAAGGTTTTAAGGGGATTTCGTAAGAAAAGCGTCAAGACTCCGGGGCCGCGCGGTCGCTGTGGTCGGGGGTCGGTAGGCGCCGTAAACAGAAGAACCGCAATTGATTGGTAGGGATAGCACAGCTGTCTTGCCGGTTGGAGGAGTTGCTAGGAGGCTAGAAGCAAATCAAGGCAAGAGCAGCAGAGCAGACAGAGGCCAGCTGGTGCTGGAAGAGGAGGAGGCGCCGGCGAAGAAAAAGGTTGTTGAGCTTAAGGCTAAGCAGCAGCAGTGGAGCCGAGTGACGACGGCGAAAGAGTAAGTGGTTTGGTGGCGTCAGAAACGGCGGGCACTTCGGCTGATAAGCATTCGACCATTCCACTCTCTGCCGTCTAGAATGTGGTCGTTATTCCACAGCCTGCAGGAGATTATTTCCTGGACACTAAGTACACCACCAGAAGAAGAATACAATCCTCTTTCATGATCAAATTAAAAACCAGGGGTTGCAGTTCTGCATTATAAGTTCCGACCCAGTCAAACGCGTCGCTAAAAATTGCTGGATGGCATACGACGTTGGCATCCACACACCCTCGTTCGTCTGCATCCGCAACAGGAGATGATCGTCTAAGCCTTGTCAGATTGATTGAATGCTTACTCGTCTGCAGTGCTTGGTTCGCAGTTCCCTTGGCACGATGGTTTGTCTCAACATGAGATGCGGGATGAGGGTTGTGTTGCCGATAAACTTCGCATCCGAGGTGGTATCGCCTTCGTTTTCCCCACAAATCGGATTGGTGGTTGTTGGCCGTTTGCAGCCAAATGTCGCCGTGATCGCAACGATTTTAGAAACTGTGCCCGGTCCACTAACGCGGTCTAGATCTCTGAGCAGTCCCTGCTGCAATAAGGTTACTTCTATCTCCAGGCGACCCTTTTTTGGGTGAAAGGGTTCATGCTTTCGCATCAATCTCTACTACGAATCGTGTCCCCATTCACATCGGAGTTAAGCTGAGGGGCACACCCGCTCAGCCCATCCCAAGAAGACGTGGTTTACGTAGCCTGAAGGGTGGACACTGCGTCAGCCTGGTGAAGCCGCGTCATACGCTGGGCCGGCTGCTGCACCCCCGACTTCTTGGCTTCGGCGCTTAGTAGATGAATTTGTAGGGACTGTTGGAATGACCATTCTGCGTGATAGTGACAGGTGAAAGCCACCTACATTGCTTGACCTGCATGGCTCGTCCACTTACAGGCCGCGGGCCAGGCCAAGCAACAACCACTGCAGCTGTTATTGGCTCGATATCTCCTCCACCACCAGCCACTGGCCATGTCAACTTAGCAGCATACTACAAACTTATCACAGTAGCTGATCTGCAGTCACGCTATACTCTTTGTGGTTTTAATAGCACTGTCAAGTTTGACAACTGAACACCTGGACTTTCCGCAGCAAGACATACACACATCTTCCACTCTTCAGGTGTAACTTGTCCTGTGGTACTCCGTACTCCATAGTTGCTTGGATGCTCCTAGTTGTGTTGAGGACAAGTCCAGATTCCCCTTTCTTCTCTAGGGTCACGTGCAACACGTGGAACCTCTCCAGGCGTTGAATGGCTCTTTGCGGTCTCCCAGGCCCGCTACATACCAGATAGGGATAAGCGCATCTCCGGACCTTGGATGGGTTCCTGAAACCTTGAGAAACAATTCCCACGTTGTATGTTACAGTGCCTGAACCGAGTCGTCAACTCTCCCGCAGATGATACCTTACAATCAGGTTTCTCAGCCAAGGAACACGGAAACGAGCTGTGGTTGTAGGTGGCTTGGATGAATCCAAGGTACTGATCGCTATCAATAGAAGCATCACGAGCTAGAGTGTGCACCTAATTGTAGACTCAGCCAGAATGCATACATTGAGTTGCTCATTGTCAAGCATACGATGTGGCTGTACTATTCTTCCCTGCTCTGCGACACCACCAAATCCATTACTGTAAACCCAGGAATAGAAGAATGTTGACCTAGCCGCTGAGGTAAGCAGGGGATCGAGCGGATCTGGATCTCTCAGAATGGCGAACAGGAATCTGACATTTCCGACGCTGTTGGCAGTGGCTGATCGTCCCGTCCACTCACATTATAGGAATGGTCAGACAGGTCAAGTCTCGCTCGGCCGGTTTCACAATGACTTGCGTGCTTTACTCCAAACTTTCCTCACCATCGTTCCTATCATCTGTTTGCCATGACCCGTTATCACTAACCCTCCAAACCTCTACCTATTTTCCACCAATGGCTCACCTCATTGGCCCAGCTACCTTCTCCCCCTAACCACCAAACACAGTAAGGTAGTAAATGCCACCCTCCAGACCCAAAAAATTCCCTGGTTCGCGCGCGCGGATGGCAACATCCCAGCAAGTACACTCTCACCCAGGTGGATACCATGAAAGGCCTCCCATCACTGCTGAACGGCAGCACCAGCCGCAGCAAGAAATGGACACAATCCACCCCATCCACAGATACTGCAGAGGATGAGGGCCAGAGTGGTAGTACTATAACACCCACCAAGCCGCCCTCAGCGGACACACCCCCAGGCGGCTCAAAAAACCCCATGATCTGGACGCGAAGGAAGATAACATGGCTCATCACCCTGATAGCTCTAAGCGTAGCCATAATCGTGGTGGTGATAACCGTCCCAGTAGTTCTCCTGGTGGACGATGCCCACAACGACGATCCCAGCTACTACAACAGCGCCAACCGTCCAGTCCGCGTCGTGCATGATTTCCCCGACCCGGGGCTAATCCAGGTGAACAGCACGTGGTATGCATATGCTACAGTCGCTACACCAGATAATCCCGATGTTCCTCACGTCCCGGTATCGACATCGCGGAACTTCAGCAGCTGGACCTGGCTGCAAGGATACGATGTCATGCCGGCAATGAGCAGTTGGGAAACGAATATGAATCAGTACGCTCCAGATGTGATTCAACGCGTGAGTAAACCCCAAATACTACTCCCACGCATGACTTTCAGTTGCTCCAGGCAAACGTGACTAAGTGTTCTACAGAAAGACGGCCGTTTCGTCCTCTACTACTCCGGCGAACTAAAAGACTGGCTCCGCCACCACTGCGTCGGCGCCGCCGTCTCCAACACCACAAGTCCCCTAGGACCTTACATCCCGCACAACAGCACCCTCGCCTGTCCCCGCGACCACGGCGGCGCCATCGACCCCGCCCCATTCAAAGACGTCAACGGGACCCTCTACGTCGTCTACAAAGTCGACGGCAACAGCGTCGGCCACGGCGGAGACTGCAACAACGGCAAGAAACCCATCGTCTCGACACCCATTATGCTGCAACAACTCAACGACGACGGCGTCACTCCCGTCGGTGACCCCGTCGAAATCCTAACTAATGAGAAAGTCGACGGACCGCTAGTCGAAGCTCCGGATATTATCCGCACTGATCGGGGCATCTACTATCTGTTCTTCTCCTCGCATTGCTATACCTCGTCAAAGTATAGTGTTAAATATGCATGGTCGACGTCGTTAAAGGGGCCGTATACGAGGGCTGAGAGGCCTCTGTTTCGAACTGGGGACTTTGGACTGAAGTCTCCTGGTGGTGCGACGGCTTCGATTGATGGGAGTAAGATTGTTTTTCATGCTTTTTGTGGGGATTATCGGTGTATGTTTGCCGCGGCGATGAATATTACGGCGAATTATACCATTTTGCCGGCGGCGCTTTGAGGGTGGCTTTGATGTATTATAGATTTGGTAGATTTGGTTATGATGTACATAATAGGATAAAAAGTTATAGACCATGTTCCATACACGAGGCAAACGTTTCAGCCATCCATCAATACAAACCTAGACTCAGTATCAACGGTCTCCATGGTATGGAATAGCATGGAACCCAATAAACAAAGTAAGGCCAGATACTATATCGACAACTCACAGCAGATCACAAAACCACACACCCCCTCCGACCAAAACAGAAAAAGCAGAAGCAGCAGACAGCCCTCAGATTAGCTCTCAGGTTCTCACCGGTTTCCAGGCAGACAATAGTAGTTGACTTATGCAAGGATGCACTTGTCAATTGCCGGATACCATGCAAATTTGGCTTTTGATTCATGAATTCGTCACTGGGCTGTCTGTTGCTTAAATTTCATTTTGATCCATCTCTTGTCCATATCATATGAGTTTGATATTCATGCCTTTTTGTTCTGTGTCATTAGCTGTATTGTATGTATGCACATTAACATGTTCATTGGGATAATTTGTAGTATCCATGTCATTAATGAATACTAGCATGTCCTATTACAGGCGCGTGGAAGTTGTTAGTAGTAAAGATAAACTGACATAAAGTATGAGCAATCTCAGTGTTAATTCGATATCAGAATAGGGGGAAATAAAGCAAGAAAGGTAAATGTGAGGGATGAGATAGCCATCAGATTGAAAACTACCGTACACATCACTCCTCATTGACCATGCTCGAACATCGTTATCTTCATGACAGAGAAACAGATGGAGCAGCAACGTGTGTAAGAGTCTCGGAGTAAAGTGCTAGATTTCTTTGTCATCATTGGCGGTGGCATGCTGGGATAGAAGCAGAGGGGATAGTGTGGCGGGCTTTTGCAAATATATCAGAAAATTTGTTAGTGCTGGAAATAAGAAGAATAATAATATCAATAGAGGAAATGTATGTGGTCAGTATAATATGAAAATGTGAGTTGAGCAAAGCAAGGCAAAGGAAGGCAAGGCTATCCCCGAACATTAGAGGAACATTTCCTGCCATGAATATAGAAGTGAAAAGGGCATGTTCAGAAAGAATTGTGCAGCTTGGTAATCTCTTAGATCTCTGTTCAGTCTCAATCATCCACGCTTGGGTCAGATGTCTTCTTCCATTCGGTCTCCCGAAGGATGAAGTCCACTGCCTGATATGAATCATTAAAGGGTGTCATGAGAAAGCTCTTTGTGTGTGGTTTATCGTCATTGAGATTAGAAAAGCGCTATCCTTAGAAGTTTATAGAAAACAGCTATGAATAGGCCAGAGTCGCGTCGAGCGGCTCATCATCTAAGATATTACACATGATGTGTTGCTTCGCGGAAGTGCGCGTGGTTTTGTGCTCAACGCGGAGGGCACGTGATCCTGGTTTATCCAGGTTGCTCTGCACCGTATGCTGAGTAAGACATGTGCATAAAATGCGCATTCACATTATCCAATCGTCTATATTGCAATATACGATTCAAAATCTATATATACCTATTACACCAAAATATCCACCAAAATATTACCCAACTAGGTAATCATGCCAAAGACGGTGAAACGGATCCAGAATCATCCACAGAATCGGCATCAGGAGGAACCCATTCCCCCTCACTCTCCCAAGTACCCGGCCTCGTAAAATCCTCATACCAAATCCCACCCAACGCGTTGACCTTAATATACCCGAACCGGAAATACTCCAGCTCACCATCCAAATGCCGCGTCCAATTGAATGACTCCAACATTCCATCATCAGACTTGAACGCCCGGAACCGTTCAACGTCGTTGACGAGCACACTAATCCCGTCTGCATCCTTGTCCACATCATTGAAATTGAACATGATGTTCTGACTCGACAGAATAGCCGGAGCACCAAAGACAGGCAGGACGCTGCCCAGCTGCGCGCCGTCCAGCAATGCCGCAGATGTCTGGAGTATGCTGTCGAAGCCCCAGCGCGCAATACCGTTGATGAACAATCCTATGAGGAGGCCTTGGTAGAGTAGACTGGGGCGTGTTTGGAGCGTTGTTCCGGGTAAGAAGAGGAGACTGAGGACGTAGTGATGGATGCGGAGGTTCATGTGCGGAACAAGCATCAGGGCAATCACGCCGCAGACCATGATTCCGTAAAGAAGAAGCATTTTTGGCATGCGGCCTTCTCTGCGGAAAGCGATGGCTTGGGTGAGGACGATGGCGACGAGGAGGCCAATGATGATGATCAAGGCGGGTATAGCGCCTGGTTGTTGTTGGATGTCATGCGGTGTGAGGCGTGATATAGGGATCTTGTCGAATGTGTCGGTGTTGAGGGCGCCGACCCAGCAGCTTCCCAGCCAGAGGACAGTCTTGTCCCAGTGTGCGGAGAGGTCTGTCAGGGTTTTGCGGACACAGAAGTAGTACATTGCAAAGCCGACGAAGGCGCAAGGCAGGAATCGTCCTAGGGCTGTGGATACCACTTCATAGTAGTCGGGGGAGTAGGGCGGGTCAGAGGACAGAGCGACCTGGAAGTAGACGATGAAGTAGATGGAGGCGTAGAATGCTGCGGGAGATGTGATGAACAGAGATAGTAACGTCGTGACGATGACTGAAAAAGTGAAGAGCGGCCAGCGTAAGTCCTGGCAGCTTGTTTCGGACGACTCTCCGCCAAAGGTAAAGGAGAGTGGAAAATATGAGGCGTATCCAATACTCTCGATCCCGTTCCTTGTCACTGACGGAAACTTGGTCCTTTCGCCCGTTCGTCGCAAGACGCCACAGCCACCTTTCTGACTGTCTATTAGACCAGCGTGTAGTGCTGCAGGACAGATGGCTGAGTCACCACGGTAGATGGCATCAGTAATATCACCATCTGCAGTTCCCCCGATAACAAGAGGACGATAATTGTACTCTTCCGGGCCTACAAAGTACGGCTCTAGCAGCATCGCATCTGCACAACTTGCGGGGCAGCGAAAGGCAAATGCCCCATCGTCAAAGGGGCGGCAGGAGTCACCATTCAGGCCGCAGTCGGTCGAATTTGGCCTGCATAGAGATGAGTTTAAGAACATCGTAGAACCACGAGCAAGCGACATACCATAGTCTAGCGTGACATGATAGCTTGACAGGCGCACCGTATCCGGAGACTTGCTGACCAGCTACAGAAGAATGCAGGATGGAGAGGAATATGACGCCCCAGGTGCATATGCAACCCAGCAATAGCCAAACTTTGGCACGGGTGCTCGGAAAATAACGCTCCACAAGGCGGCCTGGCGCCGTCTGCCAGCGCGGCAACCATGGGGTGATCTGATACCGGTGTGGGTATGGCGGGCCTTTAATCCACGCGCGGATTCCAGAAAGTGTACATGAGAATGGCTCCGGCGCTATGCGTCGGGGGTGGTGAGTTGAAGTTGGCAATAATGGTTCATTCGTGGTCTCTCGCTGGTCGGGCCGGGCGGAGTCGGAACTTTCCCGCCCAACCGTTATGAACTGACTGCTTTCGGAGTCATTCTCATTCGGATCAAAGACGGCCAATGGGTAGTCTTGGGATGTCTTTCCAAAGGAGGACGATGGAGATCTTGACCTGCTTCTCAAAGGGTGCTCCGGGCGCATTGTTGCTCCGTCGGTATGGTGAGGAAGAACCGCGGGAGAACTCAATCCAAATTCAAGAATGAACGGTTGCTTCGGAAGCTCGCCAGTTAGTCATCATGGACTGGATTAGGCAAAACCAACACATTAACTGTATAGAACCTTTCCAAGAGTATGGATTTTGAAGAGCTATACCGGTGCAACGAAAATTGGCTGAAAGCCGTCATCAAGAAATCGTCGGTGCCACTCAAGTATGCCAGGATGTCCCTCCCCGAAATCAGTGCAGCCTCGCTGGCTTCCGTTCTTCCCTATCAAGCGCAATCATTGGAGAAGCGCATATCCGGTTGCCCCTGTCAATAAAAAGAGAGAGACCTGTATAGCTGGTCAGTATTATACCTTGCCAGATGCTGGAAGCAACCGCTATTAAAAGTCATGGCAGTAGAAGTTCGCTCCTTACACTAATCTTCTCGCAGCCTTGCAACCGCCGCATTGAATGATGTATATGTATTAATCGCATCAAGTTCACCGGACATGGCTAGCCTTGTTGTTTGTTAGTTTGGTAAGATAGAGCTTCTTCATCCTATGAGAAAGGGGGCTACAGAACACTGATTGGTTCCGTCGCAGAGCCTGGCAATCACGCTTCTGCTTATTTGCTGCCTTTCTGTTGCCTCCTTTACACCATGATTTTCGGTGAATAAGCTTTTAATCGGCCCAAATAATATTTCACGGAACAATTGCGCAAATACGAACTTGCCAAATGACCGTGTTACCATAGTGGATGACCGCAGTCATTAGACACCTGACCACGGGTGGGCACGACCCAGCCTCACAGCCTCGTCTAGGATGCCTCTCGCAGCCTTGCTCTCTACACAGCTGAGATATATATGCAGTCACCGAACGTCGATATGAGCAACTCGGAGGATCTTCACTTCAAACCGACTGTAAAGCATTTGGAAGCGCTTCTTCAAGCATGACTTCTTTCCTATTGAGCGACGTGTCGACATCACCCTCTCCAGAGCCAAAATATGTCACCCAGAAGCAGTGTGTCACTCATCTCAAGCTTCTCTCAGCGTTTGCTGAACTGCGAGATGTAGTTAGCAACAATGACGGGCTTTTCGGGCTTCACGACACAGACGGACATCGAGAGGGTGATGCTCAAGACAAATACCATGCCTTGGTTAAGGAGAAGCGCTGGGCTGTATATGTCGCACGGGCTGTGAAACGATACACAAATTGGTGGTTCCGTTGTCTCCCAAGCCCGAAACCGCCTCCCAAAATGGCAGATATTCGCAGAAATACTTATGCCGATGTCGTCAAGCCTGAGAAAATAGTGCAATGGCACCAAGATATTCTTCCACCCCTAGGTGAGTGATTTCGATCTCAAACTGGCACACTGCTTGCTAAAGTAAGGCGTGGGATAGATGTGCTTATGGTGTGGCACTCGCATATGCTGAATCCACGCAAGTATCTCGAGGACTGTATCCGGTATGGCAAGATGTGTGTTTGGGGTGCAGGTTTCCCTTGGGAGCTTCTTGACCAGCAGATCAATGGCACAACTTTTGATTACACCGTAACTGGGGAAGCGTGCCGGTATTTCGAGTCTCAGGTCGGTTCTAGTTGGGACAACCTCCTTGATCCGCTCACTACCATTGTTCAATGTCCGAACTGCAGCACCGAAGTCGTCGTCAGCTGGACAGCGGGCCAAGACGTGACAGACGTCAAACACCCTTTTGACAACTGCACAGGCTTAGCTGACAAAGGCTTCCGTGCTGTCTGCCACAATTGTGATTATCTTATTGACCATGACCGGCTAAAGCTGGCCAAGTGGCGTCAGGATGTGCGGTCAGTGCGGGAAGAGAGTCGGCCTATGCCCGGGTGCTTCTACAACTTACGTGGTGTCCCATTCCCAGTGTCCATGAGCTGGAAAGAAGCAGCATTCCTATATCCAAGCCAACTTATCCGGGTTGTAGCAGACGACATCCTGGAGTTCACCGATCCCAAGACCAGTAAATGCCACAGTATCGCCGCTGTGCGCGATTATCTCAAAATAAGAGTCCAAGAACGCAGAGTCCTGCAGATGGCACACGAGTCCCATTTCTCCAAGGTTCGGCCCACTCGGGTCGAGAAGATATGCATCCGCCGGATGATCTCTCGATACTGGGATAACTCTAGCCCATTCTCCCTGGACTTGCTCGGCGCTGTCATCAGACAGGGCAAGTTTATTCAACAAATGGACCGTATCAACTGGCTTAGGTCACCGACTCTCCACGCCACCACAAACCGAATGATCAGAAAGTACAGTGTCTTCTTCGGGATCATGGCTGATAATCCCAAAGAAATGGCCGTACCGACACTACATGTGGATTTGGCATGGCACACACACCAACTTTCTCCCAGACAATATTACAACTATAGTGTGCGGTTAACCAATAGGCCAATGCAGTTCATTGACCACAATGACAAGGTTGATGAGCTAAAACTAACAAATGGATTTGAATGGACTTGCAAAACATACCGTGAGGTTACCGATGGGGAGATCTATAGCGAATGCGTCTGTTGGTTCTGCGAGGCGATCCGCTATCCCGATCTCTACAGTCACTTCCGCTCATCATTATTGTGGCTTTCCGATGCTCGCAAAGCCGTTGATGAGTTGCACAGACAGCATGATCAAGCCTCTAAGTCTGACAGTGGGCCGCATATCTCTATCCACAGTGCTGTCCGCCTTCAGAATAGTGAGGTCAACCGAATCATGAGAGAAACC